AAGCCTTTACACATGGGCCTTTGAGGGACACTTATCCAAACCATACCACTATTAGAAATAAGGTAAGTGGAGGACACATCGCCACATGTTAAGTTGACTGGGAAATAATGAGTCAATATCCGAGTAGGACTTACAGAACAACAGACCAGCTGGAGCCACAGACCTCAAACAAGGGAAAGTCTCCTACAGTGGGAGAACTCTGGGCTGTCACCACAGGAAAGGCTCACCATGGGACATCATAGAGCAGCACTTCTGAATGACCCTTAAACAAAATCTCCAATTTTGGTATAATGACCCATGATGCTTTATAAACTCAGTAAAATAAAGTCAACAAAGAATTAGGAAATAGTTTCTAAATAGTCTACACAGAACTCAAAACTCATATTGATAAACATAACCACTTAGTTACTAATACAAATGACTTAACCATGTGCCTTCAGTTCAAAGACAAAAGAGAATTAGAAAAAGTCTTGAACTTTATTATTGACATAGTTGTAATGATTCTGAAGCTTGCTGGCTATGAAGCACTGAGCAAATGAGCTAAATATATTTAAGACAACAGGAATCCAAGATTAGAATTAAAACTTTCATTATGAACTCATTGATTTTAAAATATAATAAATATTCACATATACATACACCTCCTCACACATATACACACTTATTTATATAAATATTTCCCCACTCCTGCAGGATGTGGTAGCACACACTTATAATCCCAGCAGCTCAGGAGGATCATGAGTTTAAAGCCAGCCTCTGCAACTTAGCAAAACCCTGTCTCTAAATTAAAAAAAAAAAAAAATGCAGGGGGGTGGGGCTGGGGATATGGCTCAGTGGTTAGGTTCAATCCCTAGTACCTAAAAATAAACATATATTTTATATATATATATGGAGCTAGCTAACTCTGCCTTCTTATGACACCGAAGTATCAGTGTGAATACCTAGTGCCAATTTTAGCTTCTAAATGTTATACCTACTAAAAGAAACCAGGTTCTGGAGAAATTTGTGAGGCTGGGCAAGGAAGAGGCAAGATGAGCCTGGAACATTATCCTGTGTCACAAAATAAAGAAATGCTAAAAAGAAAAAAGTTACTAGGACATGAGGGCCTGGGGGACCAGCTTATAAAGGAGCTTTCACTAGCCAAATCAAAAAATTTTGAGCACGGAAATGAGTAACCCCAGCAGGAGCTGGGGTTGTAGTTCAGTTGTAATGCATTTGCCTAGCATGTGTAAGGGACTAGGTTTGATTTTCAGCATTGCATATGAATAAAAAAAATAAAGGTCCATCAACAACTAAAAAGAAAATTTAAAAATTCAGCAATGAATCCACTGAAAGAGAAATTAGGAAAACTACTCTATTCACAATAGCCTCAAAAAAAAATTTAAATCCTGGAATCAATCTAACAAAAGAGGTGAAAGACCTTTACAATGAAAACTACAGAACACTAAAAAAAGAAATTGAAGAAAACCTCAGAAAATGGAAAGATCTCCCATGCTCCTGGATAGGCAGAATTATTATTGTCAAAATGGCCATACTACTAAAAGCGTTATACATATTTAATGCAATTCCTATTAAAATCCCAATGACATTCTTCATAGAAGTAGAAAAAAGAATCATGAAATTTATTTGGAAAAATAAGAAACCCAGAATAGCTAAAGCAATCTTTAGCAAGAAAAGTGAAGCAGGAGGCATCACAATACCAGACCTTAAACTATACTACAGAGCTATAATAACAAAAACAGCATGGTATTGGCACCAAAATAGAGTTGTAGACCAATGGTACAGAATAGAAGACACAGAGACAAACCCACATAAATACAGTTATCTCATACTAGACAAGGGTGCCAAAAAACATTCACTGGAGAAAACATAGCCTATTCAACAAATGGTGCTGGCAAAACTGGAAATCCATATGGAGCAAAATGAAATTAAACCTGTATCTTTCACCCTGTACAGAAATCAACTCAAAGTAGAACAGAGACCCTGTGCCTAATAGAAAAAAATATGCACCACTTTGGCCTAGGATCTGACTTCCTTAACAAGATTCCTAAAATGCAAGAAGTAAAATCAAGAATCAATAAATGGGATGGATTCCAATTAAAAAGCTTCTTCTCAACAAAGGAAACAATAATGTGAGGAGACAGGAGCCTACAGATTGGGATAAAATCTTTACCACATGCACCTCTGATAAAGCATTAATTTCTAGGATGTATAAAGAACTCAGAAAACTTAACACCAAAAAAACAAATAACCCAATCAATAAATGAGCTAAAGAACTAACAGACACTTCACAGAAGAAATACAATTGATCAACAAATATATGAAAAAGTGTTCAACATCTCTAGCAATTAGAGAAATACAAATCAAAACTACTCTAAGATTTCATCTCACTCCTGTCAGAATAGCAATGATCAAGAATATAGGCAACAATGAATGTTGGTGAGGATGTGGGGAAAAGGTACACTCATACATTGCTGGTGGGACTGCAAATTGGTGTAATCACTATGGAAAGCAGTATGGAGACTCCTCAGAAAATTGGGAATGGAACCACCATTTGACCCAGCTATCCCACGCCTCGATTTATACCCAAAGGACTTAAAATCAGCATACTACAGTGTTCCAGCCACGTCAATGTTTATAGCAGCTCAATTCACAATAGCTAAACTATGGAACCAACCTAGGTGTCCTTCAATAGATGAATGGATAAAGAAAACGAGGTATATATACTCAATGGAATACTACTCAGCTTTAAAGAAGAGAGAAATTATGGCATTTGCCAGTAAATGGTTGGAGAATATCATGCTAAGCGAAATAAGCCAATCCCAAAAGATGAAAGGCTGAATGTTTTCTCTAATATGCAGATGCTAATTCACAATAAGGTGGAGGGCACTAGAGCAGAATAGCATTACCTTAGATTAGGTAGAGGGCAGTGAAGGGAGGGGATGTGAGGATAGGAAAGATAGAATGAATCAGACATTATTACTGTATGTATATATGTGACTACATGACCAATATGATTCTACAACATGTACATTCAGAAAAATGAGAAATTATATCCCATCTATGTATAACATATCAAAATGCATAAATGCTTCCTACTATCATGTACAACTAATTAAAACAATTTTTTTTAAAAAAAAATGAGTAATGTATAACATTTTCAAAGAATCCATGAGTCTAAACTGACAGGGGAAAAAAAAGAGTAGAAAGCTCTTCTTTGCTTAGAGCTCCAACTACTCAACATACACACATGAAGTTAGAAACTCAGCCTGTCACAATGATCACAAACAACAAGCCAAGAACCACCAGTGGATCCAAAAACAACCAGCTAAGTGTTGACAGAACTAATTAATTAACAAATTAATTATTCATTATAAAGGGAAAGTTGTAATAACCCAGTGGGAAAAAACCTCTGCAGTCACGTGATCAGAGTGGATTACCAATAACAGGAAAAACGGACACGCACTTCTTTACCTGACAAAGGGCAGGTTTCTGTAGTGCTCCTCTGATGAATCTCAACATCAGGACATAATCAGATAAATCCAAATTGAGGGACTTGTACAAGCTAGCACCCACCCCTCAAATGTGTTGATGTCAAATGAAAATGAAAGAAACTCTGGAGGACAATGGGTTTTGTTCCTAGAAAATAACATACTACAGTTTGAGACCAAAGCATCATGATTCTGAAAGTACTCTCCACTGGATTAATGAAGTATCATGTTTATGAAAGACAGGAAACAAAGGCAGAACATGTGAACGACTGAGAATCCAGGTGAAGAGTAGATATCAAATTCCTACAACATTTCTACAAGTTTAAAGATTTTTACAATAAAGCATTTTTAAAATGTGAGAACAAGCTGGTGCGGTGGCATTTCTCAGGAGGCCGAGGCAGGAGGATGGTGATTCAAAGCCAGCCTCAGCAACAGTAAGGTGCTAAGCAACTCAGTGAGACCCTGTCTCTAAATAAAATACAAAATAGGGCCGGGGATGTGGTTCAGTGGTTGAGTGCCCCTGAGTTCAATCCCAATACAAAAAAAAAAAAAAAAATGTGAGAACACATTTATGGAAATAACTGAAATCAATAGGGGATACTACATCTTACTTTCCGTTCTGCTAGACACATAGACCACAATCACAAACAGCTCGCTTTACCTCAACAATGCATGAAGGAATGAAGAGACTGAATTTTTTAATATTTATTTTTAAGTTGTAGTTGGAACAATACCTTTATTTTATTTATTTTTATGTGGTGATATGGATCAAAACCAGTAAGGAAACCAAAGCCTATGAAGTAAGTTTCCCTAAAAACATTATCTCATCGATACATTAAAAAAAAATAAATTCTTACGGGAAAAATACATAGAAGTATTACGTAAGTTTTTCATTACTACAACAAAATGCCTAAAGTGGGCTAATTTTACAATAAAAGAGGTCAAGCTGGGCATGGTAGCACATGCCTGTAATTCCAGCCACTTAAGAGACTGAGGTAGGAGGATCCCGAGTGCAGGGCCAGCCTGGAAACCATAGTGAGACCCTATCTCAAAAATCAAAAGGGCTGGGAATACAGCTCAGGGGTAGAGAAGCCTGTGCATTCTACTGTACCTATAGCAACAGAGAGAGAGACAAAAGGGGAAGTCCCTGTTGGTTGAGTCACATGAATAGGAGCCCGTAACAGGAGATCATATCACCAAAGAGGAAGTGAGAGAGACACTGAGATCCCACAATCCCTTTGACAACACACCCTCAAATGACATCATCTCAGTGACGCTGGGAGGCTGGACCTCTAGATCCCACCTCTCAAAGGTCCAGCCCCCCAACATCACTACATTGAGAACCCAACTCCAGCACATGAGCCTCTGGGGAACACTCACCACACCCAGACCCTTGTGCCACATGAAGACCCGCTGGCTCTAGGTGGTAATACTCTATCCTGTTTTCTTTCCAGTTTCCTTGGTTTTCCAGACTTCCGCCATGAAAAATGAAATTGATACTCAAAAAAATATCAATCAAGATTTTTAATAAAGCAAATAATTTTACAGTAAGGCACAAATGAGATATTCTTAGAATTTAATAAACTTTACTATTTCAAATTATTACTGGTATTTAGAGTCCTAGATTTTCGTGAATGCATATGGCAGGGCTGGGCTACAAATGGCCAGAGAGTAACTCAGCACTTTGATTTGTTTACAATGGAATATTTGCATGTTTCCTCCAAGGACGCTGTACCTTCTTGCTGGCCAAGACATCCAGGTCACAGCAGATTCGGGCGCGAGTAGAGGAGGGCTGGATGATGTCATCCACAAACCCTGGTGAAGGACAGGAAGGAGATCACTGGGTGCCCCATGATGCCATCCCACCCAGGCCTTGGGCGCAGCCTAAGTACCATCCCCAGGGCCAACGATGTGAGCAGGGCCTAATCTGGCATGGAGGTGCTGGGCCCTGTGACCCTCCCCTGCACCCCAGGGCTTGCCTGTTTTTCTGGCAGGTCCCCGATTTCTAGCCTAGGAGCACTTGGCAAGAAAAAGGAAATCCAACTCCCTCCCCAGCCTGCTCCAAGGCCTCCAACCCTGCCAAGATGAATTCAATGGGAAATGAAACTAAGAAAACATATCTATATTTTCAAAGATGGCTACAACAATTCTCCCCTCCCTATAAACAAGTCCTTCTGCAATATAACTGCTGCTTCTCCCACCAAGAGGCAGATTCTACTTCTTTCCCTGGCCTTGTGATTTGAGTGGCCAATAAAACAGGCAAAAGTGACTCTGGCAGGCTGGGGCTGTAGCTCTGTGGCTGAGCGCTTGCCTAGCACATGTGAGGCCCTGGGTTCGATCCTCAGCACCACATAAAATTAAATAAATAGAATAAAGAAGTTTCAAAAAAAAATTCTTTAAAAAAAAAAAAGTGACTCTGGCAACCTCCAAACCTAGGGTTCAGGGGATCCTGCAGCTCCCCCTCATCCTTTTGCTACCCTTGGGACCCATGCAAAGAAGTTTGGATGAGGCTCATTAAGGGTGACAGGCCATGTGGGCAGAGTGTGGCTAACAGCCAGTGCCCACCACACACTGAGGCCACCTTGCACCACAGAGCCCCAGGTGAGCCACCAGGCGGGCCAGGCTGCCCTCCCTGCCGCCCCCACCTCTCACTGCAGCAGGGAAGGGGTTGGCAAACTTCTCGATGTACTCTCTCTGGGCAGCATCCACGTCCGCGTGCCCTTTGAAGATGATCTCCACGGCACCCTGTCAGGAGAGGGGTGACCAGCTTATTGGCACAGGGTCCCAGACCCAAGCAGACAGTAAATTCATAACTGTGTGGCTGCAAACTTGGCAAATCAGAGAGCACTGGAGGGAAGTGTCAGCTCCAGAGGCCAGAGCACAGGGACGGGCCCTGCCTGGGGTCAACCACCGGGACTCCAAGATTCACAGGACAGGGCCTAACCCCATCCTACCCTCTCCCACCCCCGCTCCACGTCCTTTGAGGCCAAGATATCCAGCCTCTTTTCCACCTGTAAATTCATCATCCGCTGAATCAAGGGGATTAAAAGTGTCATTTTCCTTCTCTGCTACCCTGAGCCCTGAGCACACACTGGCGCAGACAGCACTGGCTAAGCTGCAGATGGCAAGGGCCTGGCTTCCAGGTCAGCACCAGTCGGTCCACCCCTAGGGACCCTAGGGGTTTATCTGGCTCAACCCAGTAGCTCTTTCAAAACAAGGAGGGGGCAGGGACTGGGTCAAGCAACAGAAAGTACCTGTACCAGGATCAGAACCTGAGGTCAGCTTCTCATGAGCTGAAAGAAGGGCTCTGGGGTACCCCCTGGGGGCTGGGGTGGGGGTGGGGTGTCCAAGCTCTCCATGGTCAGTTCAGGGGACTCGGTCCTCTTCCCTTTTATCACATCCTTAAAGCCCCTCTGGCCAGTTCCACTCCCCTCCTCTCACCTGCCTCGTCCTCCCTGCTCCAAAGACACCAGCATGTGCCTGATGGAGGCAGACTGGCCTCAGAGGCCCAGGAAAGAGACTGGCCAAGGACTCAGCCCCACTCCCTCCAGTCCTGGCCCATCCAGGGGCCATAGCCTCTTTCCCACGTGTCCCAGCTATGCTCGGAGGATACAGTCAGTCCATGGCCCAGGAGAGGGGCGAGCTGGTGGCCCTCACCTTGGCTCCCATGACAGCGATCTCGGCTGTGGGCCAGGCATAGTTGGTGTCACCAAGAAGGTGCTTCGAGCTCATGACATCATAGGCACCGCCGTAGGCCTAAGGACAGACCCAAACGCACAACATTAGAGCCTGAGACAACCAGATCACACCCTGAGAGAGCCAGGAAACCAGGTGACATGGGGATGGAGAACAAGAAGAGCCCTCCTGGGGTCTGGGAGGCCAAGGCCAGGGGCCTTTCCCAATCAGGCAGTTGGTCCTGGCCTCCTCCCACCTCTGCTGTTCCCTCTGGAAGGACCCCTGACACGGCTGCAGGGGGGGAAGGCTCCTCCTTCACAGGGATGCACAAGATGACCGCAGCCAGCCCTGGTGATGCCAGGCCAGGCTGCTGGAGGCTGAGTGGGGTCATGTCTCCAGTGTGAGGGCCTCACCTTCCTGGTGATGACGGTGACTTTGGGAACAGTTGCTTCAGCAAACGCGTAGAGAAGTTTGGCGCCATGCCGGATGATGCCCCCGTACTCCTGCGCTGTACCTGGGTCATGAGGAAGAGTCAGGGTCACACAGGAGAGCCTCACAGGTGTGCACCCCGGAGAGGGACACCCAGCTACCCTCACACAGCCTTATCTCCTGGAAGCCAGAATATGCAGAAGTCATGAATCCTTGAGAGACGGTGCAAATGATCCTCCATCACTGGGCAAAGCCACCTGTCCTGGCCCCAACCTCTGCCAGTGACTCACCAGGAAGAAAGCCAGGGACGTCGACAAAGGTGATGAGGGGAATATTGAATGCATCACAGAATCTGACGAAACGAGCCCCCTTCACAGATGAATTAATGTCCAAGCACCCTAGAGAGACAGAGAGACAGAAAGAGAGAGAGACCATGCTGAGCTTCTGGGCAATTCCAGTTCCAACCCAGACAGTACGTCCTCACCTCCCATCCAGAGCTGGTTTCTGTGAAGCTCCACAGTCTCATTCTCAAGGGTACCAAGGAACCCTCATGCTCCCAGAAAAACAAGGAGGATAGAGAACAAGCCTGGCACTTGCCAAAGAAGGCCCAGGAGTAGCCTCAACTCAGAGGCTCCCTTGCTGGACACAGCCCTGGCATGCCCCGGTGGGAACATCAGTGACAGTGATCAGCCAGTGGCTGGCCAGGAGAGTCCTTGGGGCTTAGCATCAGCCTCTGGCTCCGTGATTTACAGCTATGTATCCTCAGGGGAAGCTTCGCCTGCAAACAGGGATAGCATGTTCCCAAGCAGAGTCAGGAGGACCGAGTGCATGGCATCTACAAATGGCACAGAGTGAGAGCCCAAGCCAGGGAATCTCCCCCGGGGGGAGCTTCTAACCTACTCCCTGAGGCCAGCACGACCCCAATTCTGAAATACTGTAGAGCCCCAAGAGAGAAGGACACAGACCAACATCCCTCCTGGACACAGGAGTAAAGACCCTTACCTTTTAAGTAAAGTATATCACTAAATCAAACTCAGCAATATATAACCAGTAGCACACCAAGACCAAGTAGGGCTTACCAAAGGAGTTCAAGGTTGGTTTTAACACATGAAAACCAATAAAACGATTAAATAATGGAGAAAAATTTTTTCTACAACAATCTCAATAAATACAGAGAAACACCTGACAAAATGCAATATCCCCTCACAGTTAAAAACTAGCAGATAATGGAGGAAAGGAATGGAACCTGATAAAGAGAATGAAACGAAAACACAGAAAAACAGGACTTCATCAATTTTCTGAAAATCTATGCATCAAAAAAGAAAAAACACCATTAAGAAAATGAATAGACAAGTCACAGACCAGGAAAAAAAAATACATGTGGTACATATACCTAGAAAGAATTCACATCCAGTACAGGTGCAGTGGTGCATGCCTGTAATCCCAACAATTCAGAAGGCTGAGGCAGGAGAATCACAAGATTGAAGCCAGCCTCAGCAACTTAATGAGATCCTGTCTCAGAAAAAATAAATACATAAAAAGTGCTGGGGATGCAGCTCAGTGATAGAGCACCCCTAAGTTCAACCCCTATTACCAAAAAAAGAAAGAACTGGGTGCAGTGGCACATGCCTATAATCCCAGCACCTCAGGAGACTGAGGCAGGAGGATCGTGAGTTCAAAGCCAGCTTCAGCACAGTGAGGCACTAAGCAACTTAGTGAGACCCCGTCTCTAAATGAAAATTACAAAATAGGGCTAAGGATGTGGCTCAGTGGTCAAGTGCCCCTGAGTTCAATCCCTGGTACCAAAACAACAACAAAAAATAAAGAAAGCAGGAAAGCAAAAGAAATAATACAATTATTTATATTTATAAATAAAACTAAAATTCTGGAGCTAAAAAAGTATAATAACTAAAAATGAAAAAATTCATTCCATTCTCCTGCTCGATGGAAGATCTGGGCAAGCAGAAGAAAGATCAGGGAATATGAAGATCAAACAACTAAAATTACAATATCTTAGCAGCAGCAGTGAGAAAAATGAAATTTGTGAACAGGCCTCAGGGACCTAAAGGGACACCACCAAGTGGACCAACTTACACAGCATAGGACCAGGAGGAGAAGACTGAGAAAATGGGACAGAGATAATTTTAAGAAATAACATCTGAAGAATCCCAGCCTTTGGGGCAGGAGACCCCTGTGTTTCTCCTTGATAGCAAAGCATAAACCTTCTTTTTCCTTTTTCTCAAAACCATGTCCTCACTACTGGATTGGCACTGAGGACAAGGACCAAGCTTTTAGCAATATTTTGTGACCCAGATGGGACCCGGGAGCAGTCCCAGCTTTCTTGGGTAGGCCTGGCTCTCTACGGAAGGAACCCCACTGCCATGCTGAGGAGCTTGCTGAGAGCCACCTGCAGGAGAGTCAGGAGATGGGTAAACCAGAGGAGCTGTTCCTGTGAGTACAGGGAGGGACCAAGGGACCACCCCAGCAGCTGCCGAAGCTCGTTTTGCTTTGCGGAACTCCTGCCTTCTCTCCCTGAACGGCACAGGTCACTCCATCATGGTCCACTTTGAGAAAAAGGAAACCGAACTCAGGAAAGTCACAATAACTTTAGCCACCTGGCAAGTCCTCCTGTGTGCACTCCAAGACCCCTGATTCCACACACCTGATTCCTCTTTGTGGGAACATCTGGTCTCTATTTCTGGGGACATCTGTGTGCCACTGGTGGTGTAGGAATCACGGTTAAGTGGAACTCAAGAACCCAAGGATGTGTACTCCCTTCTGATCTGTTCTAGGTTCTCACCTGTTTGTTGGCCTTGGCCCTGGACTTGGGAATTCCCTCTGGCTGTCTGTCCTGTTCGAATCTGCCCTTTTTAAGACATGGCCAGTACTGCACTGATCATATAGGTGGTCTCCTGGGAAAGACCTTGGCTGGTTAATTTAAAGGCTCATATTTGTCAGCCTTGGTTTTGGGGCTTTTCTCCGGTTGTCTCTCTTTCTTTTTTGTACAAATTTGAGTTGGTCTGTCAGAGATAAAGTGAGTTGAAGAAAGGACCATCTGTAAGTCAGTCTAAGATAATGTTTTACTATAATAATGTAGCTTTTAAGTAGATTTCTACATTATCATACAATCTTGCAGTTGGAGTTGGTCTGTGAAAGGTAAAGTATGTGGAAGAAATTTATACATGTGGTCTGTCTGTTTTAAAGGTTCCCATCTATCAGCCCTGGTTTCAGGGATCCTCTTGGTCTATTTTTTTGTTTGTGTGTTTGTTTGTTTTTTGTTTTTGTTTTTGTTTTTGTTTTTGTCTGTTACTGGCCCTTTAAGACAAGAGCCCTGCCACACTGATCTTACCATTAGTCTCTGGAGCAGAGAGATCTTGGCTGCATGGGCCACCTATAGGGATAAACCTGTCTAAGAGAAAGAGGGTTTGCTATAATATAATCTGGGCTTTAAATGGTTTTTCTGGATTATTATACCATTTTGTCTTTGAAGTTGGTCTGTCAGGGGTTCTGTGTGCACAGGCACTGATGCAGGAGCGTGATAAGAGGCTGAACTGTCAAGAAATAAGCTGAAGGTGTCAAAAGGCATGCCTCTGGTGGGCAAGGATAGCCCACAGAAGAAAGCATTAAAAAAAAGATTTCAGTCTTCTAAACCCAGGGCTGGCAGTCCTAGCACTGTCTCTCGGCCTGGCCCCAGGCAGCCACAGATCATCTCACTGTGGGTAAAAGACACCGGCCCTACACTGGGAAAAAAAAAATCCCAGAAAAGCTGCCTGGGCTATAGAAAAATGGCCAAAGAGAACCTGGCCTCTGCCCTGCCCCTGGGGCTGGAGGCTGCTAGCCACAAGTGCTGTGGCAGGAGGTTTCAGCACTGTCAGCTTATGACCTGGGGATAGGAATAGTCTCCCCTTTTAAGATCTGACAGGACACCCCATTTGGGCAGGGATATTCACACTGGGTCAAAGCAGTTCTTGCTGTAATAGTATCCCATCAAACTAATGGTCGAATAAATAACTGCACCCAGAAAAGAAAAAGGCAGAAACGAAGGCCCACCTGTGTTTTGTAGGCAGCCTCTCAAAGGGATCTCAAGGAGCTTAAAGAAAAAGATGGAAAGGGCCTCCTCCAGTGGGTACCAATATACCTAGTATAAGGAAGAGGCCCCAAAGGAGCCTCTGGGCACAACTGACAGTGGGGAACTCAAAGTTGGTGACATGTGATAATAATAATGGACACAGGTCAGGCTCAAAAATATCCAGTGCTCTGACTCCTTGAATGGGAGAAAATGATTAAGGTGTGTGTGTGTATATATATATATATATATATATATATATATATATATATATATATATTTATATATATTTTGTATATGCTGGACTGTCCAACCCTCTCTTGAGATAAAACATCTTGTATAAATTAAATGCACAGATAACATTCATAAGGTCTGTCTCAGTGTATGAATTTAAGAAAGGGTCCAAAACTAGAAAGGATAAGAGAAAGTTATATGTATGGAAATATATTTTAGAATGGAAAATTAAAAGGTAAAAGAGATGTTCTGGATGAGAAAGTATTTTGTCTGGTGAAGTGATATTCTTGTGTTAACGTCCAAGATGAAAGAGGACAAAACTAAGGATATTAAGAAGTTTTGAATGTTTAAGTAAGTTGCAGAAGGTTTGTGGAAGGTAAATCTCAAAAAGTTTGTTTGTGATTAAACTAGCTATAATCAGCACAAAGTTATTTAAACTTTAATATACTGATATGAAGCAAAATGAGCAAAAGACCTGAACAGATACCTCATCAAAAAAGATAAACAGATGAGTTATATGAAAAGATGCTCAACTTCACATCATTAGGAAATCGCAGATCGAGAAGCACCCATCAGAATGGCCAAAATCCAGAACAATGACAGAAGCAAAGCTGGCAAGGGACGTGGAACAAGAGGAACCTGCTGATAGAAACGCAAAACCAATGAGTCACTTTGGTGGTTTCTTATAAAACTAAATATGCCCTTGCCGCACAATCCAACAATCAGCCTCCTTGGCAATTACCCAAATGAGTTCAAAACTGGGCTGGGAATGTAGCCTAGCATAAAAGCTCAGGCTTAACATGCACAAGGCCCTGGATTCAATCTCCAGAACCACATGTGTACACACACATATGTGCAGAGTGGAAATGTACATCTAAGAAAAACCTGCACGTGAAGGCTTGTGGTAGCTTTACTCAAGTCAAAACTTGGAAGGAAGCAAAATCAACACTGTGCTGTACATGAATGGATAAACTGTGGTACACCCAGATAATGAACTATCATGCAACATTAAAAGGGAGAAGCTATTAAGTCACAAAATGAATCAGAAAAACCTTAAAAACATTAATAAGTGAAAGAAGCCAATTTGAAAGGGCTGTATACTGGAGGATTCCGACCATATGACATTCTAGGAGAACTGCTGTGGCAAAAATAACAGATTAGGCTGGGTAAATAAGGGAGGGCAAGTTCTTCCAACACAAGGATTCAAATCCTAAAATCCCAGTTACTTGGGTGGTTGAGGCAGGAGAATTCCAAGTTCAAGGCCAGCCTCAGCAATTTAGTAAGACCCTGTCTCAAAACAAAAAGGGCTGGGGGAGGGGCTCAGTGGCAGAGCACCTCTGGGTTCAATCCCCAGTACAAAAATAAAAACAAATACTAAGAGGGAAATTGTGAAGAGGAAAGCAGTACCCCAGTCCCCACCCCACCATCCCCACCTAGCACACACCCATGAAGAGTCCCCATTCCCTGGATGTCACTGGGGTCCATCACCTTTAGAAAGCTGTGGAAGAGTCACAGCAAGATGCCACTGTCACGTACTGTGTACCCAGGGGCAGTGTTGAAGGTGGTGGAGACGACAGTGGATAGGACACCAACACCCCTCCCCTCAGAGCTCACGGTTTAGCAGATGATGATGTGGGTATGTAATGGCAGGGCACAAAGCCAGCCTCTAAAAATTAAAGACCCTGAAAGCTAAGAAGAAGGGTCATCTACACACCCTTACACAGGGGGAAGTCCACAAGGAGCCATGTTGAAGATATTTAGTATCAAAAGAGGAACTGAAAAAATAAAAATTTAAAAGAAAAACTGATTTGACAACAACCACTTGAGTTTTTCTTCTGGTCACGAAAGGACATGTCAGAGTAAAGGGCAGACAGGATGCTGTGGGCCGGGTAGCCCTGGCAAGGTTTATGAGACCTTCCCATCCTACCTGAGGCCACCTTGGGCTGGTTGCCAACAATTCCAACGGTCCTCCCATTCATTCTCGCAAAGCCAACAACGATGTTCTTGGCATAATTGGGCATGATCTCGAAAAATTCTCGCTCATCCACAATCTGTAGGAATAAATTTACTCCTGAGCTCAAAATGAAAGAAACAAGTACAAGACGCAGCTGCAAGGCAGAGCAAGACACTCCTGTTCCAGTCATAGAGCTGGACAGCTCCACTCTACCAGGACACAGCCCTTCCCCCGGGGATGGGGGACAGCAGCCTACCCCAGGGGAGGAGGGGAAACTCGCCCCAGCAGTGCGGCTGCTCCACAGGTTCTAAAATTGGACAATTTGAATCTGGAATTATTCATGACAATTTGTTTTTACCTTTAGGTTTTGAAATCATTCAAACTTACATAAAATTTTCAGAAACGGTACAGGAGCTGGCAGTAGCTCAGCAGCAGAGCACCCACCCAGCGTGCCAGTGACCCCAGCAGATCTCCAGCACCAAGCAACAAAAACCTGCTGCAAAAAACACTCACGAATCCTTCACCCAGATTCCTCATTTATTAGCATTTTACTAAAGCTCATCTGTTCTCTCCTCACCCTCCTCTTAGACATGATGCCTCTCTACCCTCACTGCCCATTTCCCAAAAATAGGGTCCTTCTCTTTACATAACTTCGGTGATAGCAAAACCAGGAAATTAACATCAATGCTATTTTCTATTACAGGACCTTATTCAAATTTTGCCAGATGTTCCCGTAACCTTCCTTGCCACAGTGAAATCTGACCCAGGGTCACCGGGCACTCTGGGTGGCCCTATCTCTGTCCTCCTCCAATTGTTTTTCCTCCTAGGTCTTTCGTGATCCTGGTACCTTAAAGGTGCCAAAAGGCCAGTTATTTTGCAGAGTGGGCCTTCTATTTGGGTTGGATTGTTGTTTTTTCATGTTTGAATTCAGATACAACAGAGGTGACCTTCTCTCACAGCCAGCAGTAAATGATGTTAATCCGTCAGTTAATGGTGGTGATATCTGCAAGGTTTCTCACATCAGTAATGTTACTATTTTTTTAGTGTAATTAATATTTAGTGGAGAAATACTCTGAAACTGTGTAAAAATCCTGTCCTTTATCAAACTTCCATCAAAACTCCAGGTCTTCGCCCACTAGTTTAATACCAATTACTGACTCTTGCCTGATTCAGTAACTGCCATGACGGTTACCAAACAGTGATCTTTCTCCTTTCCAATTCTCCTTCTCCATTTATCAGTCAGCATGTGCTTTTTTTTTTTTTTTTCAGCATGTGCTTTAAGAAAGATCTTTGCTTTTCTAATTTATTTATATCAAAATTCTTGTGGATTATCATCTTTTAAAAAATATTTATTCTGGTTGTTGATGGACCTTTATTTTATTTATTTATATGTGGTGCTGACTATCCAACCCAGTGCCTCACACATGCCAGGCAAGTGCTCTACCCCTGAGCTACAGCCTCAGCCTGGATTATCATTTTGATCATTATTTTATGCCTCTCTACCCTGGTTCCCGCGTCCTATCAATGTCCCCATTGTTATCTGAGCGCTACCTTACACTTGGGACTCATCTCATCTTTAGGTTCGATGAGTCTGGCTTTTTTCCTGCCCCAGGAACACAATCAGCCATTTCTCCAAAGGACTCAGGTTCTACTTGGAGGGATGTGTGTGTTGTTCCTAATGGTCTCACAGAGCCAGACTAGAAAACACACATGTGCTCTCACATGCACTTCTAAGTGTACACACATATGGAAAGCCATGAGTGCTAATATACAATTCTAGACCAATTCATCCGGAGTCCATCCTAGCTTTCCCCATTTTTGTACCCCGAACTTCATTTTCCAACAGCAGAAACCTGGCTCCCATTAGCTCAGAATGTACTTATTTATTCAATCCCCAAATACAGAGAAAATGTCTCAAAATTGCTAATCCATACGACTATAAAAACAAACCTAAGACTACAATTCAACATTTATTTACAGCTATTTGTCTTCAAATGAATAGAGTCAAAATATGTGATCAAAAACTATTCATCTGAATGAAACTCACACATTTTCCTACTTCATCTGAAAGTTTGTCATTTGGTCTTGAGTTTTTTTGATACTATGGTTTGAACCCAGAGGTGCTTAACCTCTGAGTCACATCCCCACCTCATTTTTATATCTAACTTAGAGACAGGGTCTCATCTAGTTGCTCAGGGCCTCACTAAGTTGCTGAAGCTGGCTTTGAACTTGCGATCCTCCTGCCTCAGCCTCCCAAGCTGCTGGGATTACAAGCATGCACCACCACGCCCAGCTTGATTTTATTTTTTAAAACATTAATATTTTAACATTGTCATTTCCCATACACCCACCCAATTCCCACCCACCCTCTGATATTACTCTTAATAGTTTCCGATTTGTGTTTTCACATTTGTATTTTTTATTTCCTCTACTTTCATGGAAATAACACAGCACTGATAATCCTTTACACAACTGGGTTTTTTCACTTAATATATCTTGGAATCACTTCTTATCAGCTGACAGATACCCTCCTCATTCTTTTTCATGTCTGTATAGTATGATGTACCAAAATTTATTCAATCTCCTGTGTGTGGTGTACATTATTCTGAAAATTACATTTACTTTTTTAGCATATCTTGCAATTACAAATGGCAATGTAACGGTAGTAGATTCAAACATCCATAATATCCTATGGTGAGAAGTACTTCTACAGGATAAATTCCTAGAAATGGGTAGGCTGGGTCAAGGCTTATTTATTTAGGCCTGGATAATGCTGGATTCCCTTACCAGCCATGTATGAGTCCCTGCTTCCCACAGACTTCACAACAGAAATGTTTTCAAACTGTGTGGTTTTTTTTTTTTTTTTTTTTTGGGGGGGGGGGGTCAATCTCCCTAGGAGAAACAACTCAATGTACTTTTATTTGTATTTCTAGCATTATTAGTGAAGTTCAGCATCTTCCTACACATTTAAGGTCCATTTTATATCTTTTTTGTGAGTTACCTATTCATGTCTTTTGCCCACTTTTCTATCAGTTTTGGTCTTTACTCCCTCAAATGATCTACCAAAGTTCTTTATCTACCAAAGATTAATATTTTATGATATATGTTGCAAATATTTTCTCCCAGTTTATTGATTGTCTTTCAGCTTTGCTTACAATCTTTTGCTCTAAAGAACAGGATTTTTTTTTTTTTTTTTTTTTTTGGGTGGAGGGGGTATCAGCATTGAACACAGGATGACTAACCACTGAGCCACATCCCCAGCCCTTTTTATTTTGAGACAGGGTCTCGCTAAGTTGCTTAAGGCCTCGCTAAGTTGCTTAAGGCCTCGCTAAGTTGCTGAGGCTGGCTTTGAATTTGAAATCCTCCTGTCTCAGCCTCCCAAGTCTCTGGGATTACAGGCATGCATCACCATAACCAACTTAACTTAATTTCTGCATAGTCAGCTTTACCAATCTTTCACTCAAACCAGATTTGAGCTCCAGTTCAAAAGCATATCTTTATCTTCTCCAAAGGTTATAGAGGAATTCAACTACTCTTTTCTTTAGTGCTTCTATGGATTCACAGTTTTTATGTAGTTCTCCAACCCATTCAAAGTTCCCTCACCCCCAAGTCCTTTTCATTTCTTATTTTGAAATAGGGTCATGCTCAGTTGCTGAGGCTGGCCCAAACTTGCAATCCTCCTGTCTCAGCCTCTGGAGTCACGGGGATTACAGGCATGCACCACAGCACCTGGCAGTTTATTTCTGTATGTAATGTATGTAAGGATCTAATTTTATATTTTCCTAAATAGTTACCCAGCTGTCCTAGTATCATTTCTTAAAAAAGTCAATCTCTGCCCCTGGGATTTGAGATTTAATACATCATCTACTAAAACTCTCCTGAGTCTATTTCCAGTTCTTCTGCTCTCTTCCACTGCTGTTTATGTGCTAGGACCACACTGTCTTAACTATTGAATGCTTAAAACAATATAAAACAGAAATTCCCCACCTGTAACTTTATAGTATATGCTTAATGATTATTATACTTTCATTTTTCCATATAAATTTATGTACAAACTTGTCTAATTCTATTAAAAAAATTCCTAGGATTGTTTTAAATTTATAAACAAACTGAAGAAGAATTGACATTTTATACAATAATCAACCCACAAGGGATCTCTCCCCAATTATTCGAGCCTACTTTTGCATTTTTCAGAAGTGTTTTTAAAAAATTTGCCCCATATATCTTTTGTACATTTCCTGTTGTAACTATTACTAAATATTTCATCTTCTCTGCTGCTATGCAAAAGAAACTACGAGTGGTTACAAGTTTGCATTTCTGAAGACTTCATTTCTGTATGTAAATTTTATAGCCTGCTCCAATTATTGTTTCTTAGTATAATCACAAATTCTCTAGAGTTTTCTAGCATAATATTTAATCTACAAACACAGCTTAACTCCCTTTCTAAGGCTTTGCTTCTCATTCTCCTCATCTTGCTACATTAATATTTCTTTTTTTTTTGAGAAAGGCATATTTTATTTTATTTTATTTTTAATTTTTTTATTGTTGGTTGTTCAAAACATTACATAGTTCTTGATATATCATATTTCACACTTTGATTCAAGTGGGTTATGAACATTAATATTTCTAGTCCAACATTAAATAACAGACTCCTCAATGGGCACTCTTGTCATGCTCCTGTTCTCAGTAAAAACTAGTCTTGCCTTATTAATATGCTTGCTTTTGGAAAAGTGTATGCCAAATTTTTTCATATTAAGAAAGCATTCAAGGACTAGGGATGTGGCTCAGTGGTAGAGCACTGGCCTAACACGCATGAGGCCCTGGGTTCAATCTGCCACAAAAAGAAAGAAAATATTCAAGCCCCACTGTAATCCCAGCAACTTGGGAGGCTGAGGCAGGAGTATAGCAAATTCAAGGCCAGCCTGGGCAACTTAGTGAGACTTTGCCTCAAAAATAAAATAAAAGAATTGGGAATGTAGCTCAGTAGTAAAGCACTCCTGGGTTCAATCCAAAAATACCACAAAAATATTCAAGCCAGGCACTGTAGCACACCTGGAATCCCAGCTACTCAAGATGCTGAGGTCAGTCTCAGCAACTTCAAGGCCAGTCTCAGCAACTTAGTGAGACCCTGTCTTAAAAAAAAAAAAAGTTGGAATATAGGTCAGTGGTAGAATGTCCCTGAGTTTGATCCCCAGTACTGCATAAATATAAATAAAAAAGAAAGCAAGCAAGAATTCATCAATTCTTATTTTCTTATTTTTATCTGGAATGGGTATTCACTGGAAGGGTTGGGGTTTATGCCGGGAATTGAACACAGGACCTTAAGCATGTTAGGTAAGTACTCTACTACTGAGCTACACCCCCAGTTCCTTTTAATTTTTTTATTTTGAGACAGGATCTGGCTAAGTTGCTGAGGCAGGTCTCAAACTTGCAATCCTCCTGACTTGGCCTCCCGAGTAAGTGGGACCACAGGCATGAAATACTGTGCCCAACTTGAACTTTTTTTTTTAATTTTTCTTCTTTTTTGTAATCGTAAATGGACAGCATGCCTTTATTTTGTTTATCTATTTTTATGTGGTGCTGAGGATGGAACCGTGCCAATATATTGGACAATATATTGGACTTTCTAGAATCAACTTTGCATTCCTACAGTAAATCTCGCTTAGCCCTGGGTATAATTTTACATGGTGCTGGAGTTTGTTAGCTAATATTTTATTTGGTATTATATCAATACTAAAAGGGAATATTGTGAAACCTTAAGTGCTCTTTATCAGAATCTAGTATGATGTCATGCTTGTTTCATTAAAAAAACGTGGAAACTGTTTTTGTGATTTGGTGGGAGGGGTGTTTGTTTTCCTTTTGTTCAGCTGGTTACACTGGAGACTGAACCAGGGCCATTTTATCACCAAGCTACATCCCCAACCCCTTCTAATTTTTGAGACTGGGTCTAAGTTGCTAAGTTGCCATCCTCCTGCCTCAGGCTCCCAAGTTGCTGTGATGACAAGATAATGTGGTTCTCTAACTTTCTCTTTTCTCCAAGAATTACGTAACGTTGCCTCAGTAGAGTTCATGAAGGTCTCAGAAAGTGGGTCTTTCACTGGTCTGTTATTCCACACCTGTGATCCTAGCTACTCAGGAGACTAAGGCAGAGGACTGCAAGCTCAAGGCCAGCCTGGGTAACTTGGTCAGTCAGATCCTGTCTCAAAATAAAAAGGGGTGGGGATGTACCTCCATGGTAGAAATGGCTGGGTTCAACCCCAGGACTGAAAGAAGGTCTCACAGGAAAGTGGGCCCAGGACTTTTTCGTGAATTCCTTCCTTCCATGTAGTTTAGTCCTCTTACACTTTCTGCCTGTGATGGGCCAATGACTGTTACACTCTACTTTCCAAACAGATGCTCAACTCATCTAGTCTTATGATTTTTAAATTTCTTGGGGGGTTTTTTGTTGAATTTTTTTTGTTTTTTCCTCCCACTACAGTGGCTTGAACCCAAGGGCACTTAACCACTGAGTCACATCCCCAGCCCATTTTTTATGTTTTGTTTAAAGACAGGGTCTCTAAGTTGTTCAGGACTTTACTAAAAAGGCTGAGGCTGGCTTTGAACTTGCAATCCTCCTGCCTCAGTCTCCCAGGCTGTTGGGATTACAGATATGGCCCAGCCCCTAAATTTCTTCTTTTTCAATTGCTATTCTTCATGTTCCCTTCATGCTCTATTTATATTCATACCTTAAAGTTACTATTCTCTAGTAATTACAGCTACTATTTCCTACATCAGCTTTTCTTTTAGCTGTCACAAATTCCTAGTTGTAAGCAATGTTGTAATATTTTTTCTCTCTGGAATTTAACATTTTCTTTCTGATCAGCTTTTGTGAATGCTTCCTGTGTACTTGAGAATAAGATTTATAAAGTCTGAACTAGATCTGTAAGATCTACCAACTGATGAACGGTATTTAGGTCTCCTGTGTCCTCTTTTTGTCCATCTGACCTGCGTCTGGCCATAGCTGCTGAGCCCTGCGAGCTCCCCAAAGCAAGGGCCAGGAGGAGGAACATGTAGCCAGCAGAGCCAGGCCCTGGGATGGGCTGAGCCTGCAGAGATACCCATGTGCCTTTGTTAGCAAGGACTGCTAAGGGCCATGCACGTGAGGAAGATGATGGTCATCACAAGTGCCCCCAATGTGCCTGACGCTGTCCCTTTTCCTCAATGACCCAATAATCTATACACCAAGAAAAAGGTACCAATGGTACCATTCACCACAGACTTCCACATGCATGTCCTGATCTTATCACAGGACACCCCATAGACTCCCCTTTCTCTAAAAAGACAAGGCAGCCTAAGCATAAGGTCCCTAACAAAGGTCCATGACAAGGCCATCCCCACCCCACTCCAGCTAGCTGGCCCAGCTGGCTCCTCCACCTCCAGCCCCCAAGTCCATCTGCACCATCAGGACGTCTACTGCCACCAGCTCTTCCCAGAACACACCATCAGTGGCCTCTCAGTGCCCACCCTGTGCGGCTGACACCAAGGCCAGCTCCAACACTTCCCCACTCGGCCAAAGCACACCGACCACGGATATGGCTGGGCGAGGGCAGGAAGCCAGGAGGCACAGCACTCACCGAGTGGATGATGTCCAGCATGTCGTAGGCTTTGGTCGATTCCAAAGGGACAATGGTGTCAAGCTCAGGAACCAGGCGGTCACTAGGAAAGAGGCACGCACAGTCAAGAGAGCCAGTGACCTTCCGAAGGTGGGAGGTGGGGAAGGAAACAGGAGAGGCTCAGCATGGGGACTAGGCTGGTTCTGTCCCTGCTGGGCTTGGTGAGTCCAACACCAACCCTGGAGATTGTCCTGTTTCCTTTTCAGAAAAACAAATGACCTTATTCCCCCTGAAGGTGATTCATTTAAACTTCTGTGTACCTCCTATAGTCTAAACACTGTGAGGCACTAAAGCTCACCGGAGGGACAGACAGGGAGAGCCCAATCAGCCATCCTGAAAGATTAAAAGCAAGAGGCAAAGTCAGAGTTCTGCCGAAACCACCAAGGGTTCCCATTCCCCGTGGAAAGGCTGACCTGCTGGAGTACCTTTAAGAAGCAAAGCCGCTGGGCTGGGCTGTGGCTCAGTGGTAGAGACTTGCCTAGCATGTGTGAGGCACTGGGTTAGATTCTCAGCACCACATATAAATAAATAAAATAAAGGTCCATCAACAACTAAAAAAATACAGGGAAAAAAAGACAAAAGAAGCAAAGCTACACCATACTGGGCACGGTGGCGCACACCTGCGATTCCAGCTACTCAGGAGACTAAGGCAGAAGGAATGCAAGCTCAAGGCCAGCCTGGGCAACTTGGTCAGACCCTGTCTCAAAATAAAAAGGGGTGAGAATGTATCTCAGGGGTAGAACATGCCTGAGTTCAACCCCAGGACTGAAAGAAAGAAAAAAAAGCAGCCCCATAGACTGAGACACGACTATGACTCCTGCCTGCATCAGGTGGCCTGGGAGGGAGGCCAAGCCAGAGCCCACTCCCACCAGCCAGAGGACTCAGCAGTTTAGATCCCCCAACCTCCTCTCTCCATCACTCTCAGCCCTTCCTGTTCTGTGCGGACAGCCAGAGGCTACAGTGACCCCAAGATGTGGCCTTGGTCAGGCCACCTGCTCCAACAAGCCCAGCTCCCAGAGCTCTTCTCTGTGCTAGGCGTGGCCCCGATGAGAAGTCCTCCTTCACTTTCCCCTACACACACAACCACCATGGACCAATGCAGACCATGAGGCCAGAACACCTTCAAACGACCCCCAAACCCTTCAAGAAGGCCAACCGCACACGCATTCACAAAGAGGGCTGAGCAACCCTCCCCTCTAGGACTACACACACTGGCCTCAGTGGGGCCTTTGTTGACATGATTTCAGGTCACCCCTGGCCTGTTCCTGGCCCCATAGATGGGAGCTTTGGTCCACGCCATAGGGTAATGTCTAAAAATGGCTCCTTGCCAAACAACTCCAAACCCTGACCACTGAAGTCCAGGCCATGTGAGCACAGGCAGTTCTAATCCGGAGAGGAAACGGGAACAGAGGGGAGCAGCAGTCTCTGTGGTGCCCACATCAGGCAGTGACCCAAAAAGCAAGAGGGAAAGGAGGTCTTTGCTAGGTCGCCAGGAGCAGGCCTGCTCCAGGATTCTCCCAGCCTCTGGCAAGAACAGTGTGCACGGGCGAGTGTCCTGAGGGGCAAGCTGTCTGCATCCCTCTGCATTGATTTATTTCATGTCAAGACAAAAAAAAAAAAAAAAATCTTTCATTTCCAAGTTTGGACAACTCAAATCTCTCTTAGGAAGCAAAATGTGTGGTCCCCCAGCCCTATAAGGTATCCAGCAGAAACTACCATGATGAAGGATGTGCATAAAATCATCTTTCTTTGCTCTTGCACCCAGACATGCTACCACCGTCCCCATATCTAGAAGCCACACTGACCCTACTCCACAACTGTTAGGGTCTGTAAACAAGTCAAGATGGCGCCTGGCATTCTGCCAGAGGGAGTGGTTTGTGAAGTAATGCCAGCGAGCCATTAAGTATGGAGATTCCTTATTGGTTGACTGCTGTATCTAGTTTATGCTAATTACATAAGCTGTGTGGAATGTATATATACCCCTCCTGTCCTACAATAAATGGCTCCCACTCCTGCTGTATCAATGTACACAAGTTGCTCGTCACCCCCCGGTTATTTTGCCCAGCCAGCCGGGCTGCAGCACACAACTGCTCCAAAATGCCCAACGATCCTGGAGGTCCAGTCAGGGCAGATGGGGAAACCATTCTGAAAAATGAGAGGCGGGACAGCCTGTCACCCACCTGGGGTCGTGGCACTCGCGGATGGGAGCCTGGTCCTGGCTGCTGAGGGGCAGGTAGTTGAAGAACTCCCGTAGATTGCACAGGGCATCGATGTCATTCTCAAAAGCTCTGTGAGCCACGCCTGAGAAAACAGGGAGGATTAATGGGCCAGGGCACCGGTTGGCACTAGGACGCTGCTTCCTGCCCACGCGCCCTCTCTGGGGCTCTCGCCGCAGACCACGATGACAGCTCTGTCCTCAAATCCTCTGCTAAGGATGGACACTGCACACCTCCGACCTTTGGACTGAGCTGCAACCCACACAGGCGGTTCTGTGCTCTACCCTCACACTCGGCAGGGTCACACTCGGAAGGGTCACACTCTGCAGGGTCATACCTTCCTTATTCAGGTCTGTGCTCACGTCCCCTCCTCTCCTGTCCTCCCACCCTCCACTTCCACCCCTGTGCGTTGGGGGGCTCTTCACAACTTCCCTGTCACACCTGCTGCCCTGTTCACTGCAGGATGCTCCCTTAGAGGGCGTCCCACCACTGCCATCCCCTGGCAAGGCCACTGCCTGGCCCATGACGTGCTCAACAATGGTGAGGGGAAAGGAGGGACTACCTGACCCTAGCCAGGGATCAAGCCATTGCTCCTGAAGAACGTTCTGAAATAAAGACCAGCAAACAAGGCGGTGAATGCAGTGCAGCAAGTGACTGAGGACTCTCAGGTCAGCCTCACCAGACTCCCTGCTTCCACCACTGCCCCTATGGTCTCTTGTCTACACAGCAGCCAGGGGGAGCTTTTAAGTCAAATCATGTCACGTCTCTACTCCTGGCTGTCCATGGAATAGTCACTCTCCTACCCCAGGGCCTTTGATTGACTCTTCCCACTGCCTGCAATGCTCCTCCCTACCACCCAAAAAGAACTTCCAACTGTTTAATCCTTGCCCTCACAGTGAGGCCTACCCTACCCACCCCATTTGAAACTTCAGTCACCCCAATCCCATTTGCCCTGTTCTACTTTTCCACATTATATATTACCTTCTGACATGCTATCAGTTGTACTTATTGATAATATTTGTTATTTTCTATCTTCTTGACTAGAACACAGGCCCCACATGGGCAGAACTTGTTGCTGTTCTGACCACAGATGCGTTCCCAGCCCCTAGGACAATGCTTCCTACCCAATGAGTAAAAAGCATTTTCTATGTAATAAAATTATTTCAATCAAGAAGTATTTATTAATTAGTACAACCACTTTGGAGGACGGTCTGGCAGTTCCTCCAAAAAGTTAAATATGGTGTTATCATTTCACCCAGAAATCCTATTTATAGATATGTAGCAAAGAGAAATGAAAACATACATTCACATAAAAATATTTATAGTAGTATACTTAAGAGAGCAGAAAAAAGTAGAAATGACCCAAACATCCATTAACTGATCAACAGACAATAAAATACAGTAGGGCTAGAGTAGGAAGGAGAAAAGAAGCAGTGGTAGAACACTTGCCTAGCACATGTGAGACCCCAAGTTCTATTCCCAGCACTGCAAAAATATTCATTAGAATATTATTCAGTCATACAAAGGAATGAAATATTCATTCATGATACAAAATGATAAACCTTAAACAACTGATGCTAAGCAAGACACAAGTCACACAAGAGCACATGTTGTAGGGTTCTGTTTATATAACATATCCCAATAGACAAACACACAGAAATAGTAAGTGGGCTGAGGGTTGCTTTGCCTAGGGCAGGGAATGTGGGGTGCAAGGGGGTAGGAGTGTTATTGGGTACAGCGGGTAATGGGGTGCTGGGGATGATGAAAATGTTCCAAATTGTGGGAATGATTATACAATTCTGAATGTATTTAGAAACACACACACACAAACATACACACAACTGCACGCTGTAAATAACTATTGAAAGTGTATGATCCAATATCAAAAAGGAAGGAAAGAGAGCAAGATGGGAGTCTGATACACAGAGCATCTTTGGGCCTTGCTTAGGGGATACAGGATCAGGCGTGAGATGCAGACCTTCAAAGGGTCTCAGGCCCTGAAAGACCACCGCATACTATCTTGAAAAAACAAAAAACTCGGGGCTGGGGTTGTGGCTCAGTGGTAGAGCACTTGCCTCGAATGTGTGAGGCACTGGGTTTGATTCTCAGCACCACATATAAATAAAAAATAAAGGTCCATCAACAACCAAAATTAATAAAATAAATAAATTTTTTTAAAAATCATGTTACAAAGGAAATCCAATGTCATGGGCAGAGCTTCATTCCTTTAAGCTATCAAGTGAAAAAACAGGCAACAGAAGAACGTGTGTTTGGATGCAAATCGTGTATTCACACTCACCGGCCCAAAAGACGGCAGAGGTATCACAGAAAACTCAGTGGTGATTATCTGTGGTCGATGGAATTTCTATTTTTACTACTGTGTATTTTACCATAAATGCTAAATACCATTGATATTAAGAATAAACAGCATATGTTATCAAATCAAAGACATCACCAAGACTCAACATATTTTATACCCCAGTGAGAAAGAAACCACTGCCAATTATGCCCCGAGATAATGCATCTTCACTAATATCAGAATCATGCCCTGCTCTCCATATAAAGTTTTTGTGTCTTTTATAGGAACAAAAATGTTTTGTTTCAACGCCAAAGCACAAACTTTTACACATTTTAACTGTGGCATGAGTGGTAAGTAACCCCAGAGAGGAACTGACCAATCTCATGAACACACGGTCATGACCGTCATGTTAAGACCCTACCTGGCCAGTGGGAGTCGGTAAAACACTACCTATTCTTAAGACATTCTCCAACTTTGGAGTCACAGACCTTTTTGTTAAAAGTTCAACTGCACATATATACATCATACCTACTTATGACCACCATTCCAAGGATTCGTTTTAAAATTAAAGAAAAAAAAATTAAAGAATATTAAAGTAGGGGCTTGGGTGTGGTTCTGTGGTACAGCACTTGCCCAGCATGTGTGAGGCTCTGGCTTCCATCCCCAGCACCACACCAAAAATAATTATATAAAAGCATTAATAACACCCTAGTATTCATTCCATGTCTGCAGGCAATACACTGTACTACAGTCTCCCCAAGTAAGTCCAGCCAACTAAATGACATTTTTAGAAATCTGTCACCATTCCCTTTGGCGGTGCCCCTTCCTGGCTGCTTGCTTGTATAGTAAGCTCATCCTCAGGCCTCTCACCTGACATGGTGGTGTGGGTCTTGGCGCCACCAAGCTCCTCCTGGGTGACATCTTCATTGGTGACAGACTTCACGACTTCAGGGCCAGTGATAAATAGGTAGGAGGTGTCCTGAAATCAGATTTCCAGAACTATCAATCTCAAATCACCAGAGCAGTTCAGATCCTGAAGCTCACTCCACCAGGAAGATAAATTTAGGGAAAGTAGAGGCTTGACAGCAGAACAAGACTGGGAGCAGACACCCATCTAGACGAAGACCTGAGTTTTCCAGGCCTCCTTGTCTGATTTTTTTTTTTTTTTTTAATCTTTGTTGCATGGTTCTATCTCCTCAAATTAACTCACAGTGTGATGAATATCTCAGGGTCCTTCATTCATAGAACTCAGTAACAGGTGACCTTTACTCAGAGTTTGCTGAGAACCAAATGCTTTTCTAAGCACTTCACAGGACTATGTCAGTAAAATCTATCTACCATATCACCCCCATGTACATTTGGGAAAACTGAGGCCCCTAAGATGGTATGCAACCAATCACCGTAAGTGAAGACACTTAAAGACACTGATAATCAATACATGGGCACTCAGAGGGTGACAGGCTTTTGATTTTTAGTTTCTAAGTTATAGATGATAAAAGGTACACTATAAAAAATTTAAACACAAGAATAAGGGATACAGTGAAAAGTAAGTCTAAGCCTGGTGCAGTGGTGTAAACCTGCAATCCCAGCTATTCGGGAGGCTGAGGCAGGAGGATCTCAGGTTGGAAGCCAGCCTGGGCAATTTAGCAAGAACTTGTATCAAAATAAAAAGGTCTGGGGGCATAGTTCAGTGGTAGAGCATTTGCCTAGCATGAGCAGGACCACTGAGGAGGAGGGGGGAGGAAGGAGAAAGTCCATATCCCAGGCCTGTTTCCAAGCTTCCAATCTCCTTCCCCTAAGACACCACTATTTCTGATTTATCCTTACAGAGACACTCATGCACATGAGCGCATTCACACACACACAACACACACACACACACAAACACATGTACATTTATACGCATATATCTGTCCTCTTATTTTCTAATGTAACAGGGACTTAGAGAGGCTGCCTTTGCTGAAAGCAGTGACCCCCCCCCCACTTAGGTCTACACATGTGCAGTGGGTAGCAGAAAGTAGGGTAAAGTTACGGGCACCTCTGCCTTCATTTGGTATCTGCCTCCTTTATTACCCTCAACTTTGAGTCAGGCCCCTGCTCAGCTCAGCACGTAGACATGTTAATCATTTAAGGAGTGTTCATCTAAAAACTAGCGATACAAGGTTTATTTGCCCTAAACCCGAAACCTATCTCAACCCTCTTGAGTCTGAGGCCATATATGCAGCATCCTGTTTCACAGCCCTGGAGTGGGGCCTAGAAGTCTTCAGTCACTGACGGACACCTTCCAGAAACAGCAGGAGCAATGTCTCATGGGAGCTGAGCTGCCTGCCCCCTTCCAGAATCCCAGGCCTGATGGATAAACACCCTGAGCAGCAAGAGGAAGCTGCCCCCTCCAGTGACAAAGATGTCTCTCAAGCCACCTTGCAGAACCAGAGCCAAGAGAATGATCACCCAGGCCATAGCTGGACAGAGACTGCTCAACAATTCAAGCCTCTCACCACCCCCACCCCGATTCTTCCTCTATTTCAATCTCAAATTCACTTCAGCACCCCAAAGACAGGGCTGAGATACTGGATCTCACTTTGCCTTCCCAAATATGGGATGTTGATTAAAATTCATTTCCTGCTTTTTCACCATTATTTTTTCTGCTTGGTGTTGAGGCAAACGACAGGATCTGGTGGGGTTTGGGGTTTGGTTTTCTGGGAGGTGCAGAGTCAGTCCTCTGGCCTAGGATGTTGGTAACACTAACAAACATTTTCTTTCTTACATAGTATCTTTTTCATTTATAACACAAACAGTATCATATCTATAATATTCCCAAATTTGTTTTCTTTTTAAACCATAGTACTATAGCTTGAAGATCACAAGATCAGTATATTAGGACATGTTTTATAACTGAACTGTCACTTACAGATGGACACTTGTTTCCAATATTTTGTCAAATAAGCAATTCTACAATAAATATTTTACTATAGTCATCTCTGAACTGACTATTCATTTTCTTTGCCCATTTTTCAATTGGACAAGATTTTGTTTTGTTGCAATTTGGTTTTGTGTTTGTTGGTACTGGGATTGAACCCAGAGGTACTCTACACTGAACCACATTCCCTTTTTATTTTTTGAGACAGGGTGTCACTAAGGTGCCTAGGCTGGCCTTGAACATAGATACCCCTGTCTCAGCCTCCAGAGTAACTGGGATTACAGGTGTAAGCCACAGTGCTCAGCCAACTGACTTTTCACAAACTAAGGTTCATCCTTAGTCTATTATTTGTACGGTATCAGTCTTTTGTGGTTCCTTTGTTTGGAATCTTGCTAGAAACATCTAGATAGAAAGATCTCCCAAATTCCACAAAATTTCCAAACAAATGTTCATAGCAGCACTATTCTGAACAATTAAACTGGAAATGGCCAGTCAGCATGTAAGAAGCTGGACTCACAAGTTTTTACTAACCAGTAAAAAGCTGAACAAACTGAAAAATCAAGAGTTCTTAGATCCATCAGAGAGGTGGAATCACAGGGCAGATCACTCCAAAATCTGAGACTGGCAGGTAGGCAAACACAGAGAACTGAGGCTTGTCAGAGCAGAAATCCTGAGTCCAAACCTCCAGGGGAGCCAGAGCTGAGTGGAACCTGAACTTCACTGAGGAGCTACCAGAGGCTCAGCAGGTAATCTAAGATGAATACTCCAAAAGGGCCTAGTGACTGAGGGTCTTGTACTTGAAAACTGTACCAAGAACTTGCCCAGGTTCTCAGTAACTATTAGTGAAAACCCTCCTGCTGCTTCTGGCAAGGAGAGGGGACAAAGGATCATTTTGAGCCAGTGTGTAGAGCATTCTGTTCCTCTTAACAAGATCTGCCCTCAGGAGACACCATTAACTACAGTCTAACCAGCTGGAGTTTTATCAGAGATAACTGACCTGAGGAAAGAAAATACCTAACTCCATCCCAATCCCTGTCGAGGAAGGGGTGAGAGGGAGGGGACTGAGAAACACCTAGGGTTCACACTCCAAGGCCCAGGGTCACTGGAAGACAAGACCTGCTCAGGACTACAGAATGCCCCTCCCCTTACCACCATGTGCCTCAAGGCCATGCATGAGGCCCTGGGTTCCAACCTCAGCACCACACACAAATAAAAAGGTATTGTGTCCACCTACAACTGAAAAATAAGTTTTGTGGTTTTTTTTTTTTTTTAAGTAAAAGATAAAGACTTTCTCAAGGGCTGGGTTGTGGCTCAGTGGTAGATCATTTGCCTAGCATGTGAGGCACTAGGTTGATCCTCAGAGCCACATAAAAAATAAGTTAAATAAATAAATAATAAAGATACTATAACTAAAAAAAAATTAAAAAGACTTTCTCAGATAAGCAAAAACTGATGAAATCTATTGTTAGTAGATATTCTTTGCAAGAAATGTTAAATTATTTAGAATATCTCTCTGAAGGTAAATGATAAAGGTCAGAAACTTGGAGCCATATAAAGAAAGAATATTACATAAGGAATAAATGAAGATAAAACTTTATTTTTTATTCTTAGTTGATCTAACATAATTTGTTCAAAATAATAGCAACAATATATTCAATTACATATGCATACACACACATATACATGCATACAGAGAAAATGAATAACAGCAATAACACAAGAGCTGGGAGGAAAGTGAAATACTGTTATCCTACTGCTACCCAGGAAGTGGTACGTGTAATCTGAAAGACACCTGGGTTAGTTTCAAATGTTTACTGCAAAGCCTAAGACAACCAATAAAGTTCAAAAAAGAAAAAAAAAGTGTAACAAATGTGCTAATAAAGGAGAGAAAATTGGATCCTATAAAATGCTCAATTAACCACAAAAGGGCCAGGCACAGTAGTGCACAACTGTAATTCCAGCAACCTGGGAAACTAAGAAAGGAGGATTGCAAGTTTGAGGGCCAGGTGGGCAAATTATACCTGCCTTAAAATAAAAAAACAAAAGGGCTCAAAGGTGGAGTGCCCCTGGGTTCAATCCCTAGTACTATTAAAAATATATATGTGTGTGTGTGTGTGTGTGTGTGTGTGTGTGTATAAACTAACAAGTGATTAAAGCAGGGTTTCAAGACACAAGGTTATTACACAAAAGTCACTTTCTAATACCAGAAATGAATAAGTGGAATTGGAAATTAAAAACACTACCATTTACATTAGCATCACCAAAATTAAATACTTACGTATTCATCTAACAAAATATGTATAAAATCTATGAGAAAAACTACAGAGAAATCAGAGAACTAAATGAAGACACTCCATGTTCAGAGGTAGAAAGGCTTAAGATTGTCAAGATTTTATGTCTTCCAAACTTCATCAACATATCTGATATAATCCCAATTAAAAAAAACTCAAGTTATTTAATAGCTCTAATAATTCTAGAAGTTTATATGGTCAGGCAAAACACCTAGAAAACCAGGAGAAGCAGAGCTGGAAGAATGACACTATTTCACATGTTATCAATGCACAGTTACCAGGACACTATAGTGGTGGCTGAAGAATAAATAGAACAGAACAGAGAATCCAGAAACAAACACACAGAGGCTATTAATGTTTGACAAAGAAGCAAAGGCAATATATTGGAGGAAAGAGGGACTTTTCAAATTATGGTCTGGAGCAACTGGATATCCAAATTAGGGGGAAATCATCTAGAAGATTCAACACCCTTCACAAAAATCGACTCAAACTGGACCACAGGCTTAAATAAAAACAGTAAGGAAAGTACACACATTCTAGAACAGAATATAGGAAAAAATCTAGATGATCTTAGTTCAGGTAGTGACTTTTTAAAAGAACATTGAAGGCATAATCATGAAAGAAATAAGTTACACTTGTTAAAATTAAAATTTTCTATTCTAAGGAAAAGACTATCAAGACAAGGAAAAGACAAGCCACTGACCGCAACAAAGTATTTGCAAAAGAAACATCAACTAAAGAACTATTATCCAGAGTACAGAAAGAACA